GATGCCTGATACACTAACTCTGTGTTCTCTAAAATTCGAAGAATGAATTCTAGGGACAGCAGAGGGTCAGAGAAGAAAGATATTTACGGAGAGGACAGCTCCTGAGAGGCAGGAGGGTACCTGAATGGGTAGCTGGAGACCTTACTCTACAGAGAAGTTTTATAGAGCAAAACCCACTTGAGTACAATATGGGTTGCAGTTAGGATCAACCAATAAGATTACAAATATCGTGGCTTAGGTGATAATGATCCGATGGGGAAACAAGTCACATAAAAAGTGCGGACAGAAAGAACAAAGACTTTTTCTAGGAAATGATGGGCCGAGAGGTCTTGGTCACCCACTGTGGTGACTGAGGTCTACCCAGACTTCATTAAGCCAGGTGTTATCACTTATTCCTTGGGGAAGTACGTAGGCCTGGTCTCCAGAAGATGCGTCTCTGTTCACAATTGTGATGTGTTTTAACCTTTGTCCTGACTCTCTTGAGGGCTCAGGCCTGTCTGATAGCCTGTGGTATTTCTATCTAATTTAGCTGTCTATAATATTACAACCCTGTACTCCAAGAAATCGATGGGTGGAGCAATCTATCATCTATTAAGCTCCCCCGGGCACAGCACACCTGTGTTTGGCATGTTTTATCTCATTAACTTCTTATAGAAGCCTTTCTTTTACAGGTGAGAGGCAGATAAGTAGGTAATTTAAGGAAGTCACACAAGGGATAGGGCAGAGCTAGATCTCAGATTCCACCACAAGGCTTTAGTTTTGAATGTTCCTGTCACACAGTAGGCTCTGTAGTGGTTGTGTTGAAGGAATATGGAATCCACGAGTCATGTGAGTTTTTTTTTTTGGTGGGGGGACAGGGTCTTGCTCTATAATTCAGGCTGGCCTTGAACTCACTGTGTAGCCCAGGCTGGCCTGAAACTCACAGCAATCCTCCTGCTTCAGCCTCCCAAGTGCTGGGATTACAGATGTGTACAACCACATCCAGCCTAATCTTTAAAAAATTACAGTTCTTACTTGGTAATTATTTTTTTCTTTTTTGGTTCCGGGGATCAAACTCAGGTCCTTGCGCTTGCAAGACAGGCGGCAGAACCACTGAGCTAAATCCCCGGCCTTGATAATTATTTCTTACAGAGCACCCATTCATTTTCATCAGAGCAATTGGAGAATAGAAGGCTGTATACATTTCCTGCAGGAGGGGAATTCCTTGCATCCTTGTCTGTATTTAATGCTCTTGACTAACTGCCAGATACAAATAGCTAATACGACTCCAGATGACAAGATAGCTGAGGATCTTTTCCGCATGGGATCCTAAAAATGTTTTATCATATAAAAAATTTTCAAATATACACACACAACTAAAGAGGATGGTAGGAGGAGCCCTCATTTTCCTATCGCCCACCTTGAAGAATTATCACTCTTTGCTAATTTTTCCATTTCTTTCCCTCCCACTTTCTTTTTAAAAGTGAGAGTATTTCAAGCAAAATTCCAAAGCCTCGATTCACCAGGAACATTTCTATCGATGGAATGAAAAAGGCTGTTATGTATGCGGCCCTGTGTTTCTGTTCCTTTAGATCTGCTAGTACACGAGGGTATAAAAATCAGCCAGGGCTTGAGGATTTCTGGGAGGTGCAGGACAGGTGAGGAGGGGCAGTTCCTCCCGGGCTGTGTGATCTGTTTACCCTTGGCTGAAACACTCCTTCAAGTGAACCACCTCCAGCCTCAGAAGTCAAATGCTGCAAACCAAATATCTGACTTCCTGCTAGCTAGAGACATCTGGGGAATGTTTCTTCTGAAGCTGTTTTTGGTGTGAAGTGCCACTGAAGTGTCTTGAAGCTCTCTGGAATTTTTTAAGGATCGAAAGCATCTGACTGCAGTCCTGGTTAAAGCGGAGTTAATGATTTCATAGCCAGTCATTTCCCATCAGGATTCCTACTTCTGTGCGTTTCATGTCTAATGCTCTGCATACTCAGGCCAGGCACTGCTCTGGGCTTAGGCTGTGAAAGGCGGCATCGTGGGTGTGGGCTTGGGTGGCTAGTGGTGTGGTAGAGGGGAACCCTACTGGCTGGCTGGCCTTCCCGCATTCTGCACATCCGGCCTGAGCTCTCTGGAAGACCAGCAAGCTGAACATCTGTGGAGGGGTCCTGGAGAATCGGGGGGTGTTCACTGATAAATTCTGCCAGATAAGGGAGGCAAAGATTCCGACTTCCTGCGTCCCACACAGGGTACCGGGGATCAGGCTGGACCAAGTGAAATGCTTCCCAGGCTGAGCCAGAAAAGGAACAGAAGAGCAAACAGGAAGTGTAGCAACAGCAGAAATAGCGTGGCTGGAAGGAAGATATGAAGAGTAGATGGGGCAGGGAGCGGGTGTGGGAGTGAGGCAGTCGTGACACAGAGCTGACCATAGGGATGGAGAACAGACAGAACCTGGGCCCTGACCTGTTACTTATTAAAAATAATATGGTTTAGGAGGGTGTGGTGGCGCATGCCTATAATCCC